CGAGCCCACAACCCGGGCATGTACCCTGACTCAGAATCAAACCTGAGACCCTTCAGTCTGCAGGCCAATGCTCTATTCACTGAACCAAACCAGCTGCTCTAGGGCCAGTACCTTCTCCTTGATAGGTTGCCGCCTGGGGAAGTGGATAAGGGCTCCCAAGGGAGACCAAACATCTGATGGTGCCTTTCCCACAGCTGTTCCTGTGCAGCCCTCTGGCCCCAGGGAGGTACTCTCCCCACCTCCTGTCCCCACCCAGGCCCACAGGGAGTGGTGACAGCACATGTAAGGCGGGGGAAGTCTTAGGGGAGGGTTTGCAGGTCACTTGCACATGAGCATTGCCTTTCATTCTGGACTAAGGGAGTGGAGTTTGTTCCTGGAGGTGCTTCCTGCTGCCAGGGGGTCAGTACAGGTGGGAACATGACATACAGGGGTGAAAGAAGCAAGTCAGAGGCTAAGTGTCGAATCTACCAGTAACCCTGCACTGTAGCCCCCATGCCTCAGTTGTCTCATCTGTACCATGGGAAGATTGATGGCGAATTGGCTGGGTAGAAGTGGACCTGACCAGTTGTTACAACTCTGAACTACTCCCTCATCCCTTTATACCACTCGCTGCTGTGCCTCAGTTATCAAGGAGGAAGGCAGGGTAGTAGAAAGAGCCCTGGGCCTGGGCTAAGACTAACAGGAATTGGGATGTGTCCCCATGGAGTGAGAGAGAGCCAACTGATGCTAGGGGGATAGAGCAAGATCACAATGTAGCCCACCCACACTCTAGCTCAAGTTCTGTGGGTGGCCTTGCTTCCTCTCTCTGGATCCCAATTCCCTCATCTATAGTGTAAAGGAGTTGACCGAGAAACTTTATGAGGGTCTTTCTAGCCACAAACAGGCTAAGATTCTTGATGATCTAGAAGGGTGACATTCTCTGCTTTTCCCATACCCAAACCTCATGTTTCAGTCTGCCTATAAATTGGGAAGAATGACACTGGATTATTGCTGTAAATAGCAGATCTATAGATCTCCAAACTGTCCAAGGAGTTCTCCAGTCACCCCATCCTTAAGCCAGGGCTCAGAACCTCACTGCCCAGTACCTCAGCCCAAGGTGAGCCCTGGGAATCTCCATGGCAACAAACTGGTTATGAACGTGGCTGCAGTTGCCATAGTGACAGGCCTCTCTCTCTCTTTTTCTCTCTCTCTCTCTCTCTCTCTCTCTCATCCCCCTCATCTCCCCTCCCCTCTTCTCAATGAACCAGAGAGATCTTCGGTCCTCAGCTCTCCAGGTGGGATGGGGGTGGGGGTGGGTACAGTGAGAAGGGGGTCCAGATTGAGAAAGAGGGAAGATGGTCTGAATCTGTAGGGGAATGGGGGACTGTTGGGGTGCCATTGTCATGGTGATGGGGCTGCAGCCTGTTAATTAAGCCCCTGGTTGCCACGGAGACGATGGTGGTTGACATGCTCTGCAGCGAGCCCTGTGTGTGGGGTGTGCTGTGCGCTGGACTCATCAATTCACTGCAAGGGTTTTGGGTCTGGAGAATGGGGATTGCAGGTGGGGAGAGAAGAGCGAAGGAGGGAGTTCAGGGCTTTGGCTCCATGAGGTCAGAACTGGGGGTGGGTGGGTTAGGTCCTGGGGTAATGATATGGGGATAAGGATGGATAGGGATTGAGTCACGAGGAGGAACACTATGTCTGCCTCCCATGGAAGGAGGAACCAATCAGGTGGCTCCAGCTTCCTCCAATTCTGGTTTAGTGGATGGAGCCCTGGACTGGGGATCGGGAATCTGGATACTAGCCCCCGATCTGCCACAAGTTCACCCTATGAATAAAATTGCACCTTTCCATTTCTAAACCAACTTCCCCATAAATGGGGAGTGATAAAAGGTAAATTATAAAAGTCTCAATCCTGATACTTAGGAGGCAGCTTCTCTGAATATTTTTCTCTCTGAGAAGTATAAGGTGGGAGAGGGAATCGGTTTTAGAGACTCAGAATTCAAAAATAGGACCCTGCTCAGCTCTGCATCTTGTGGCTTTCCTGAGAGGGTTCCCCTCTAGCTAGATCTTCCTGGGGCTCTGGGTGGGGATGGGGTGCTGAGCTGGCAGCCATATTTCTGGGGCTCGGAGCTGAGGGACATCTTGCTGGTCATCTGGCCAAGGCCAAGCTGGCAGTGCATGAGATGCCTGCAATGTATTTTCTCAAAGCCTCGCTGCAGAGCATTCACCTGAGGCCAGAATAGGGACCAGTCTCCTTGAAAGGTGGGGTGTGTGAATTGAAGGTCTGGGGTCTACCCTTGGGACTCCGACTTCACTTGGTCTGGGCTCCATGATGTTAGTCTGAGATAAATGGGGAGAACATTAGGAATTTTCAGAGAGGGAAGAAGTTCCATGGATTATGTAGCCTCACCCTTTCAGTTTCAAGATGGAGATACTGAATCCCCGAGAGAGGACCTTAGTCTTGCCCACGGCTATGCAGAATTTTGGGGCAGAAGACAGGATGGCAGCATTATTTCCTGAATCCCAGATGCCTCATGAGATGGGAGCTGTGGTGAGGGTGGACATACGGGACACCGAGGGGAAGAGGAGTCGCTCCTGCCTTCACCTGTACTCCCTTAGGATCTAGGTTTCCCCCACGCACGGGCTCAGTACCTGAGTGGCTAAGGCTCTGGCCTACAAATGAAGGGAAATACCCCCAGGAGACCATCCCAGATCTGGGTTTGTTGAAAAAAAAATCTCAGCATTTAATTTCTTTCACAGCGTATCCCAGGCAAGCCTACTGCCTGTTTTACTATGTTACCTGTCTCTACAGAGTCGTGGAAAACCATAATGCTGTTGCTGCTGGTGGTGTGTGTAGTGGAGTGCGTAGGAGCTCTTGAACACTAGCCTACCCTACTGCTCTCCTTTTAACCCCTGTCACCAATTCAAACTTATTTAATTTTGGGGGGGTATTTTTTTTCCCTCTGGGAAAGCCAAGTCCAATTTTCACACCTGTCTGAATAGCTAGCTCTTCACCCTAGAGTCCTTCCAGCACCCACAGAACCCAGTGGCTCTGATAACGTATTGGTGGATCCCTCAGAGTCCCCTTTCGGTCAGCTGCGAAGACTCTCTGGCTGACTCAATGTGAAACCACCGCGGACAAACGGACAAACGTGTACAGGGGAATCTGAACCGCGGGCCCTGTCCATGGTTCTGAAGGTCACATCCTAGAGTCAGGTCTCCGGTCAGTCACATGGATGGCTTTTAGGAAGGTCTAAGAGAAGACCTGAAGGTCTTCTGGGTCCACCTTCACTTACAAGGCAGGAGGACACTCCAGTCTGGTGACTCGGAAATTCGAGCACAAGAAAAGGGAGAAAGCGTAGCTTGGACCCAGTCCCTGTTTCTTTGTTAGAAGCCAAGAATCAGAGGTCCTTTCTATAGGAGGCAGGGCAGTTTAAAAAGAGGTTGTGTTGAGGAGCAGAGTCCTAAACTGGAATAAAGCAACCTGGCTCCTAGACCGCGTTCTGCCATTCACTGGCATTGTGTTCACACACAGTCATTTATTTCTCCTCTTTGGGCCTTAACTTTCTCATCTGCAAAATGAAAGCCATGCATTAGATAAGATGACTGATGCCATCCCTTCCAACCCCATAACTCTCTGGGACTTAGAGGGCTAGTGTGGGTGGCTAGCTAGGGTGAGTCTGAAAGTCATTCCCCTTTGTCTGTTCTCACCCTTTGATGTTTAGATCTTACAGAGACTCAGAGGGTCCAAGCCTCCGATGCTGCTTTCTGAGATGTCTCCACCACAGGCTCCAGCCTGGATCTAGGGGTGCTGAGGGGTCCCAGGGCAATCAAGCTTCTAGGGGGCCTGTGTCAGGTGAGGGAGAGGAGCACAGACGGCCTGTCAGCTCTGGAATCCTCAGAAAGCAATCCTGGATTAGGGGATTAGACACTCCTGCCCCGGGAGAAAATCTGGTCCCAACCGACAGGCGGGCTCATCCCCCTCCCCCACGCTGTCCCTGGCCCGCCTCTGGCTGGCCTGCCTTCCCTAGGGCCCGCACCTCCCTGGTGGGGAGCTATGCTCCCTAGAACCTCACTGCTGCGTTCTCTCCTCTCCACCATGTCTCCTTCCCAGGGTCACTGCACAGTCAGAGGGCCCCTGTCTGTGGATTTGTCTTGGGGGTGAGATGCTATGACTCTTGTCGGCCAAGCACAGTGAGAGGGTGCATTGCAACTCCTCAGGCTCCACTCCCCCGGTCTTAAGGCTGGATGGCCAGGTAGAGCCTGAGTCCCCCCATGGGGGCAGCACAGGGCTTCAGTTACGGCCTCTGGCCTTTCCACATCCTCAGCCAACCTCTGGAACAGCGAGAGGGGAAAGGGTCTGTTTCCCCACCCCTCTTCCGGCCTGGCCTCCCCAGCTTTGCAGACAGGCTCTCCAGGGACCCGTAGTCCCTGGTGCCCCACCCTTGGCATCTCATCTTCCCCCTAGGGGTCGCCCCAGACCCCCAGCCAGGCAGCCGCTGCGGGGCCGCTTCCCCACGGCCGCGACCTAGTTCCCTGCCGTTATTTTTAGGGCGCGGGATGGCACCTGCCCACGTGCCGGCCCCGCCTGCGCCGGAGAGTGGGGGGCGGGCTGAGCTGTGTCTGCTGCAGGGAGGCGAGGCCCCTATCCCCTGCAGCACCCTCTCTATCCCACCCGTGCAAGCCCTCAGTTTTAGTGCGAGGGGGCCCCCAGGCCAGCTCTGCCCTCCCCTCTACTCCCCCCTCCCGCGCACCCCCCCCCCAACCCCGCCAGTGGCTCACGCCTCCTGCATACGGGATGAGGTGAGCAGCGCCGCCGCTGAGAGGGGGCGCGCGCGGGTGTGAGCGTGTGTCCGTGTGCGAGTGTGTGTGCGCCGGGCGGGCGGGCACTGCAGCTTCTTCCTCCGTGGAGCGGAGGGCGAGCGAGAGCTAGAGCGAGCGAGAGAGCGGAGAAGGCGGGCAGAGGGGCGCGGGCGAGGCGGCGCAGCCATCCCCGGGCCCGGCGCGGCGCTGCCACCATGCTGAACAACCTGACGGACTGCGAGGACGGCGATGGGGGAGCCAACCCCGGTAAGCAGCGGCCCGGGGGCGGCGAGGGAGGGGGCGGCGAGGAGAGGAGGCAGCTCTGGGGTTAGAGGCAGAGTGGGGGCCGCCTCCTTCAGAGAAGAGGCTGGGAATGACCGGGGCGGTGGGCACCCTGGGCGGCCTGGAGCCTTGTTCCATTGGAATGCGCCAGGCGCTGTCCGAGGTGTTGGAATGCGCTCCGCCTGGGGCCGGGCTGGGGGCCGAGGGGTTGCCATTGCCCACCGAGCGGGAGGCAGACGTAGGTTAACCGAGCGGGGGAGGCGGTGGGAAGGCCATGGAAGAGCTAGAATGGGCTGACGTGGAGCTCGACGGGCGGAAGGAGGGCTCCTTTCCCCCATAAGGGACCCTGGCGTCCTGGCGCAGAGTGTTGACTGGTGTCGTGGGGGGGGGGGGGAGAGGGCACAGTCTGCTGCAGTCCCTCTCTCTGAGACTTCCGCTGAAAGATAAGGGGAAGGGACTCATGAGGGGCTGGAGCCACATGACGGCCCCGTCCGGGCTGCGGTGTCTCCTTAAGAGGGCACTTGGTGCAATCCGGGCCCCCTCCCCCAAAGCTGCCCAAGATCCAACCTCAGAATGGAGCGTGCCTCCCCCGGAGATTTTCAGCTCTACTTTGCGGAATCTGCCTTTCCCTCTTGCGTCCCCGTGGGTTCCTATTCAGGACGGGAAGCAAGATCTCTCTCCTTTCTTCCCTCTTTCCCCTTCCCCTCGGTACCCTGGGATGGCACTGAGGTCTCCAGGTCGGGGCAGGGGGGAGTCTTTCTGGTCAGTTCTGCTAGCCTCCTCAGGAAGGCCCCAGGAATGGGGTTCCAGCTGCTGAATCCCGGCGCCGCCGCGGCGCGGACACTGCGGACGCGCTGCGGTGGGTGCGGAGACTCGCTAGGAGCCCAAGGGTTTGGAACAAGTCCTTTCGCTGCTTCGGCTCTCCCCCGCCCTCCTCCGCGGTTTCCCTGCTCCGAGGTCTTAGGGGCCAGCCACCCCTTTGGGCTCCCAGGCCCCCGCCGCCCCCCAGCGGTCTCAGCCATCCATCACGGTTGTCAGCCGCCCCCACCCCCACCCTCCAGCGGCGCTGGGTCCCTCGCGCACTAGCGCGCCTCCCGCTCCAGCTGTCTGCGCTCAGCGCCTTCAAACGCTCCCCTGGGCATAGCTTGACCCTCTGGACCACGACTCTTGAAGACCTCCCCAGGGGGTGGCCGAGGGTCCCAAGGGCTGAAAGAGCGGGGTCCTCCAGGGACTGGCAGCCTGGACTTGAAGTCCTTCAGATCCTGAAAAGGAGGCAGAGCCAAGTGGCCGCTTGGGAAGGCTGTGGACACCAGGGTATCCGTTCTTTGTCTGAGACCCTCTTCCTCCCTGGGTCTGAGTGGTCTACAGGGGTCTAAACTACTGGCTGGCCAGCTCATCTACCTCCCCTCACATTGGGGCTGCCTCATCTCGAAGCCGCCCCCTTCCCCAACAGGCTGAGACTGTGTGTGTGTGTGGGGGGGGGGAGGGGTTGGTTAAGTGGAGTCTGCGGCAGAATCAGGCATCGCCACGCTGTGCGCAGGGAACAAGGGAGCCCATTCCCGTCTGGGACCCCCTTCGGATGTCTCCACTCTGAGGACAGGAACTCACCCTGAGAGATCATCTCTCTGCTCCCCCAGACAACGGTCCGGTCTGAGCCCCGCGGCTGGTGCCTTACTGGGCCTTGGGGTTTCCATGGGGTCTCAGGAGGCCTATGTGTGCAGAGCAGGAGTGGAACTAGGAACTCCCTTCAGCTCCACACCCTCCCCATCAGTTTCTAGACTCTGAACGTGGTGGGCCCACCTGGAGACCGTTCTCTCTGCACAGTAGCCAGGACCTGGAACGAGGGTGTTCCGAACCTGGGTCAGGCGTTTTGGGTCCCAGAGAGAGAAGGCCTCGCAGAGGCAGCTGGAGAAGACGGTTGGGGGTTTTAAGGACCTGTTGAGGTTGTGGGAAGAGGGACCCTCGGGCGAGAGCCCCTGGCATCTGTGATCCAAAGTTCTTGGGGATGTGGGTGGGGGAGACCCGGGTGCTGACCTCAGGTAGATGGGAATGGTCCGAGTAAAAGGGCTTCTCTGGACTGAAGAAGAACCCAAGGTATTTATTATCTCTGGCCTCCAGGTCTCCTTTCTCCTTGGGGTCTGACGCGCTCCCCCACTACCCCACTCTCGCTTGGGAATTCCCCCAGGCCTGGCCCCAGGCCCATAGGGAGGAGGTGCCTTAGCCCGCCGCGCTCGCCGGTTTCCTCCCCGGGAGCTCTGGCCGCGGCAGCTTAATTGAAAGCCGATTCGGGTTGAGAGCTCCCAGGGGGCGGGGGCGGAGAGGGCTCAGCCTCAGTCTGGCCCTGCCTCTCTCGCACGCTCCACTAGGTGCTCCCCCACCGTCCTGACTCCCGGCTCTGGGGAATCTGGACGAGTTCCCCCTTCGCAGTCCTGCCCCCTGGAGAACTCCTGAAGCTCACCCGCCCCACACCGCCCCCAACCAGTGCGCCTGGTTCCAGGGAGGGGCAGTCAGCTCTGGCAGGGGCGGCCGGGAGCCTGGCGTCCCGTCCCGTCGGCGGGTGGAAAGGCAGGACCCAGAGCCAGCCTCCGGAGCCGCCCCCTCCCCTGCTCTCATTTCCTGGCTGCGATCCTGCCTGGAGTCTGGCTCCGCGCTGCGCGTCGCTTACATAAGCGGCTGCGGGCGCGTGGCCGGCTCTGCGCGGCGCTCTCGGCCCGCGCGGTCGCCTTGGAAACTGGTACCGGGCTACCTAGTTGCAGGCTCCAGTCAGGACGCCCCCCTTCCTGCCCCGCGCGCGCCTCGGGCCCCCACGAAGGAAGAGGGGGGGATGGAGGGGCGTGAAAGGCAGAGAGGAGGGGCTCTGGCGTCTAGCTGCCTGGCCCGTGGAGCAGTCGCTGCGCGAAGAGGAACCCAGTCCCACAGGAGACGGCCCCTGCATCTTGCCGCCGGGGAAGAGTGTGGAATGGGGAGTCCGGGCAGGGTGGGCTCCACGTGTACTAATAACAGCCGTGATTGTAATAGCTCCAGTATGTGCCAGGCATGCATTCCAGACATTATTTCACTTAATCCCAACAGTCCTTTCAGTTAAGCACGATTAGTAACCCTTTGCAAAGGAGGAAACCGAGGCTTAGAGTGTAAGTGACTTGCTCAACTGTATCTACACAGCTAGTGAAGCTGTGACTGAAACCTAAATTTTGACTCCAGCCTGTTTTCTTAACCACTAAGAAATTTGTTCTCGTCTCATCCCCCTCAAACCCACCAGTTCCTATCATGTCGAGGTGAGAACATGAGGCCCCTTGTCAGCATTTTAAAAGGAGAAGGAAGCACTTCACTCTTATTTCTCCTGTTCTCTGGCCCCAGCCAGCTCTTCTGAAACCCTGGAGTCAGGAAGGGAGCCTGGTGAAATTTACTTCCCAAGACTTTTTCCTGAGCAACTATTATGTCCCAGGCTTCCACGGGGAGGACGGTCTGCTATTCCCAGGAACTCACATATGTGAGGAAAAGGAAGAGTAGGCGGTGGCCCTGTTTGGGGACCAGGAGTCGGACCTGGCTTGTTGAATGAGGTGGTGGCAGGAGATAGAGGGCATCACCTCTTTCCCCTTTTACAATGTGGAGTCAGGATGAGATTGGAGTTATAACAGGTCATTCTCTGGGGAAGGACCCTGACTGGGAGACTAAGTAAAGTTTCTGGGAGGTAAAGAGGATGGGGAGGATTTGGACAGAGGGAGAGGGAGAAGGAAAGTGAGAGCAAGAGAGGGGGGCGGGTCAGGAGACGAGGGAAGGCGATTCAGAATATGTAGGGCCTCAGCTTCACTTGGACTTTGGTCAATGGGGACTTTCTGCAAGTCCAGAGGGGAATCTGCTACTGGGACTCAGCCCTCGCCCTGAGGAAGGGGCATGGCTGTGCCTTTAGGGTCCCTTATATCTCGTTGAAAGGGCCCTCCCTCTCCTTGATGCCGAAGCGACTTTCTCCTTGGGTGATTTCATCCAGGCCCTTGTTTTCACACACTTCCTACACACGTATTTATTTATTTATATTTGTATGTTTTTTCTGATGAGTTACCCCCACCTCTTTCTCCTGCCCAGCCTCTTTCCCGGGTCTCAGACTGATGGCATATCCAAGTGGCTTCTAGACTTATTCAGCTGAGTGTCCCACAGTGCCTCACTCTCAATCAAATCCAGCATCTTCCCCACCCCTAATCGCCCCCTTTCCCATTAGTAAATAGCACCACGATCCAACCATTTATCCATGCTAGAAACCCCAGGCATTACTCTAGATTCCTCCTTCTTCCATTCCCAAACATCTGGCGTAGAGATATGTGCCAATCATTCTCGAGTCTGTCCATTGCCCTGCGTTGCTCGGGTCTGGGTCATCAGCCCTCGCCTAGATTACTGAAGTCCCTAACTAGCATCTGTATTCTTCATCTAAAGGCCAGAGTGATGGCTCTAAAATACAGGTCTGTTCATGGCACTTCTTTGCCTTCAATGACTTCCCATTGTTCTCTGGGTGAGGTCCAAAATCTGTAACAGGGCCTGCTAATTGTGTAAGGACCCAGCCCACATGTATTATACCAGGCTCATCTTTTCCTATGCACTCCCCATCCTTCAGGCCCATCCCTCCCCCTCCCTCCCCCATGCTCCTTCTTCAGACTCCAGCCAGATCAAACTTCTTTCAGCTCCTCTAACCTACTCTGTTCACTCTCGCCTCTGGGCCACCGAACATGCTGTTCTGCTGTTCTGTCTGCCTGGAACACCCTCCTGCCTCCCTCCCATTCTAACTCTTACTCATCCTTCAGTTCTCAGCCAACACGTCACTTCCTCTGGGAAGTCTTCCCTGACCTCCCAGGCTGGGCTGAATGCCTCTCCTGTGTTCCTACAGTCCCTATTCATCTTCTATCACAGAACTTACCACTCTGGGTTGGAAATTCCTGGTTACTGGTTCATCTCCCCTGCCCTTGGGTTCCCTGAGGGCAGGAGTGGTGTCTTATTCTGCCTTTTACTTTCCCTCCATCGCGGTGCTGATATTGGCACATGGCAGATATCCAGCAAATACATGTTGGCTGAAGATGAATGAGGGGCATAGGAGGTGCCTAAGGGGGTCACTTTTCTAAGAGGTAGAGTATCCTTGGGGCCTCAGGCTGTAGTTTTTTCTGCCCTTTTCTCCAGTAAAAAGCATGCTTCTACCCCAAAACACCAGATGGGCCCAGTTATGGTCAAGGAGGGGCCCTGGAGAATCTAGGGTACCCTGATGAATGAGACGGGACCCCCAAGAGCAAGGAAGCATTCACCCATTTATTAAATACCTAGTATGTGCCAAGGAGTGCACTAGGCTCTTTAAACATGCTGTCAACTAAAATTCTTCAAGGGAGGCCCAGCCAGCGTGGCCCAGTGGTTGAGCATTCAGGGTTTGGTTCCTGGTCAGGGCACATGCCTGGATTGTGGGCTCCATCCCCAGTGTGGGACGTGCAAGAGGCAGCCAATCAATGATTCTCTCCGATCATTGATGTTTCTATCTCTCTCTCCCTCTCCCTTCCTCTCTGAAATCAATAAAAAATATTTGTAAAATAAATAAATAAAATTCTTCAAGGGAGGTAGTATTAGCTCCGTGTCTCCCATGTGCACACCGAGGGTGAGAGAGGTAAAGTGGCCATACAGCTGCATTGGCCCAGGCAGATGGATGACCACCAGTTGGTGCCAGACCACTGACTCCTCTGCCTTCTCAGGTGATGGCAACCCCAAGGAGAGCAGCCCCTTCATCAACAGCACCGACACGGAGAAGGGAAAGGAGTACGATGGCAAGAACATGGCCCTGTTTGAGGTGGGTTGCCAGGGGTGTTGGGCCTCCACCCACAGTTCATCTCCGCATGTATCAGATCCTCCCTCCCTCCCTCCTCTCCATCCCTCTGTCGGTCCATCTTCTTTCTTGAGCCTCCCTCAGCCCCTTCTCCTTCCCTTTACCTCGTCTACTCTTTATCCCCACCCTACTGTCCTCTTTCCCTGTTCTCCTTGCCCCCTCCTCCTCCTTTTTCATCTTATCTCATCCTCCAAGGTTTGCCTTCCTTGTCCCCATATCTCTCTGCCTCCTCCCATCAGCTCATCCTCCTCCCCTCCCCGAGGCTCTAGCATCCTAATGCTGCCACCTCCCTCCACAGGAGGAGATGGACACCAGCCCCATGGTGTCCTCCCTGCTTAGTGGCCTGGCCAACTACACCAACCTACCCCAAGGAAGTAGGGAGCATGAAGAAGCAGAAAACAATGAGGGTGGAAAAAAGAAGCCGGTACAGGTGAGGGCCATGGGAAGAACAAAGAGGGAGGAAGGCCGGATGGAAGGGAGAAAAGATTGGGGAAGGAAAACAGATTCGGATGAAGGGATAGGATTTGGGGGCGGAGGGAAGGGAGATGAGGGATAGCGATAGAAGGGAGGAGGGTGGGGTTGGTTTGAAGGAGGGGTGATGCAGGCATGAAGGCTGGGAAATGGGAAGAGGAATCAGGGGGAAGAGGGATGAAGGGGTGGAGATGGAGAGAATAAGAAAGTGGGGGATGAAGGAAAAAGGGAGGAGGAGTGGGCTTGTGGGTTTGGGAGTGATTAGGGGCTACAGAAACTGACACTGGCTTCCCTGGCAGGCCCCACGCATGGGCACCTTCATGGGTGTGTACCTACCGTGCCTGCAGAACATCTTTGGCGTCATCCTCTTCCTGCGACTCACTTGGGTGGTGGGCATTGCAGGCATCATGGAGTCCTTTTGTATGGTCCTCCTCTGCTGCTCCTGTGTGAGTGACACCCTCCCCTCTCCCACTCCCTGGCAGCTGGGCTGAGCAGGGCTTTGGGGTGGGAGGGAGGGGGGAAGCATGAGACCTGAGCTTTTTATAGGAACCACTGCATATGATCTTTGAGAGTAAATTAGGTCTGACTGGTCCTTCCTGCCTCTCACAGGCTAGTCCCTGATGGCTCTTAACCAGGTTTCACCTGGATGTGTCGTGTGTATGTATGTGTGTAATTACACAAGTAATGCCAATTCATTGATGAAAAAGATAGATGTCCAGAAAGAAATAAAATTCACCTATAATCACATACTAGTTAACATTTTGGTAGGTCTAGACCAGCCGTGGGCAAACTACGGCCCGCGGGCCGGATCCAGCCCGTTTGAAATGAATAAAACTAAAAAAAAAGACCGTACCCTTTTATGTAATGATGTTTACTTTGAATTTATATTAGTTCACACAAACACTCCATCCATGCTTTTGTTCCGGCCCTCCGGTCCAGTTTAAGAACCCATTGTGGCCCTCGAGTCAAAAAGTTTGCCCACCCCTGGTCTAGAGTCTAGACTTACAAGAAATGGGATTATGTGTCACAAACAATTTTTTTTTGTTTTTTTTTTAAATATATTTTATTGATTTTTTACAGAGAGGAAGGGAGAGAGATAGAGAGTTAGAAACATCGATGAGAGAGAAACATTGATCAGCTGCCTCCTGCACATCTCCTACTGGGGATGTGCCCGCAACCAAGGTACATGCCCCTGACCAGAATCGAACCTGGGACCCTTCAGTCCGCAGGCTGACGCTCTATCCACTGAGCCAAACTGGTTTCAGCCACAAACAGTTTTGTAACAGAATTCTTCCTACCCTCTCTAAAACATCAACTATTCACTAGACACCTACTTCTCATCACATTTCCGTTTCTCTACATGTGACCTTTGAGCCACCTTTGCGTGTGAGGTCATCAGTGCTGAAGCTAGTACCCTGTTTTGTAGATGAAGAAACTGAGGCTTAGAGAGTGAAGTGACTTGTCTCCGGCCAGACAGCTGGTCAGAGGCCAGGCTGGGATTTCCAGAGCTCTCTGGTGCTGTAGCTTGTGGTAGGCCCATTGAATGGTGAATAAGAGCTTTTCTTGACAAGAAGGACTTGGCAGGAGTAGAAGTTGGAATGGGACCAGGGAGAAGCTCAGTGGAAGAGGACTTGTGGGTTTGGCAATGTTTATGGGGCATAAGGTTTGGCCCCCACCCAGGCCACTGCGGCCCCCATTCCAGCCGCCACTCTGATGATCTCTCTCCTCACAGACGATGCTCACAGCCATCTCCATGAGTGCAATTGCAACCAATGGTGTTGTGCCTGGTATGTAATTGGGGTTTCTTACAGGGGATGAGGCCTGAATGGTTGGGAGGGGGGCCTGGATAGTTGGAAGGAAGGATAGTGCCTTGGGCTTTGGGGACTATCAGGACCCAAGACAGGCCATATTGCAGAACTGGGACTGGGCTATGATGTTTGTGGGGTAGCCTGGGACAATTTTATTAAGGGGAGGCAAGGGAGGCAATTTATGGTGCTGGACAGGGCAATGCAAGCTCTCCCTTTGCCTGAGACACTCTTCTCCATCACCCTATTTTCTGAGTCATGACCTCCTTAGAGGGGTCGTTAGCAACATGGTAATTAGTGCTGCAAAATCTTTTCAGAGTGGCTAGCTGGGTCTCCCACCAGTCCTAGGACTCCAGCCTGTGAGGCCCATGAGGCTCAGAGCAATCACCTTCCGCCTCTGTTCCTACGTCCTCCTTACCCCCAACGATAGCCCAGTGCTCTTGAACCTCTCACTGATACTAGGTTTTTTTCTGCAGCTGGCGGCTCCTACTACATGATTTCCAGGTCTCTGGGTCCAGAGTTTGGGGGCGCCGTGGGCCTCTGCTTCTACCTGGGCACTACCTTTGCTGGGGCCATGTACATCTTGGGCACCATCGAAATCCTGCTGGTGAGAGGGGCCAAGGAGGAGGTGTGGGGCCCCAGGCTTTCAGTTAACCAATGCTCCCTGGACACCTCCTATAGGCCACTCAGTGAGGCCAACGGGAAATCAGATGTGCTTCTCTTTTTGAAGAGTTCACGGTCTAGTTGGGGAGACAGGATGCAATAATTATGTAACACGAACAGCTGCCGTTTATCAGGCACCCACTGTGCTCTCAGCAGAGCTCCAAGTACTTCACAGTCATTATCTTGAATCCTCATGAAATTTAAGTATTATTACGCCCATTTACAAATGAGAAGCTCAGAGAAACGAAATGACTTACTCAAGGTCACTCAGCGACCAAGTGGCAGAGGTGGGTGGATACAAGTAAAATCAAGGCAGAAATAGTAATAGTCATGTCACACAATAGTTGACTATTTAGTGGCTGCGGACCACGTGCCAGGGGCTGTGCTAAGTCCCCTATGAATGTTCATTACGGAGGGCTGGTGGCTAGTCAATTGCAAAAGGGAAAAAGGCTAAGAGGGAGCCGAGTAAAGACATCTATCTGGAGTAGTGAAGAGAAGTCAGGTTGCTGGGCAGTGTTTAAAGGAGACGGCTGCTGACTTTGGTCTCCATTCTTCTTGCCCCTCCAGGAGGAGTTGGGAGCTGAAAGGGTTCCTTGGTACATAGAAAGTGGGGCTGGCATTTCCCAAGCTCCTACTTTATCCAGGCCCCATGGCCTGCGATGTATTATTTTATTTTATCCCTGACTCTCCTATGAGTTAGAAGTTGTCCCCATTTTACAGATGAAGAAAGCAAGGCCCAGAGAGTTTAAGGAAGGGATATGAACGTGTGGAAGGTGTGAACCTGTGTCTTTCTGACCCTCACACCAGTGATTGTTCACTCTACCACACAGTCTTGGAGAACTAGGGCTAAAAGTAGTCGCAGCTTCTGGTTTGGGGGCAGAATGGAGAACGAAAGAGCTGAGGAGCCACGTTATGAGAGAATGATGACTTTTACAAAACTAAATAATTTTCAAATTATTATCAAAGCAGTTCTGCCCCTTGCATAAATTGGAAAAATATCAAAGAATGTAAACAAGGAAATAGCAATCGCCCAAAGAAAATCATTAACATTTGGGTGTATTTTTTTCTAGTTTTTTTCTATGTGATATTGTATTCTGTACAGATTTTCCTAAATAACTCAAAACTCTCTTTGTACATATAATTTGCAAATGAAAATAACTTTTGTAAGAATATAAACATTAATATTTAGTAGAGAAATTATAGAAAATACAGATGTGCAAAAAAAAAAAAAATAAAGATTCTCCACATTTTCACCATTCAGGGAAAACTACTGTTAATATTTTTCTCTATCTACACACACATACATTATTATGCATATATTTATATGTTTAGGTATGAGTACATACATGTATTTACAAAAATGAGATCATAAACACATTTTCTAAAACTTGATTGTTTTTACCTAATATAACATGAATAGCTTTTTGAGTCAGTTATATAAACCCATTTATCCTTTTGAATAGCACCATAGTGTATATGGGAATATCATAATTTATTCACCCAATCTCCTAATGATGACTACCTAATTTGTTTCTGCCTTTCTATTAGAAATAATAAAAACAATATATAATTATTAAGACTTACACTTGATCACAAAATAATAGAAATTAAAATTACTGCCAACATTTTCACAATATCATTTAAAAATATATTTTTAAATTGATTTCAGAGAGGAAGGGAGAGGGAGAGAGAGATAGAAACATAAGTGATGAGAATCATTGATTGACTGCCTCCTGCATGCCCCCTATTGGGAATGGAGCCCAAAACCTGGGCATGTGCACCGACAGGGAATTGAACTGTCACTTCCTGATTCATAGGTCAACCACTGAGACACACCAGCTGGGCTGCAATATCATTTCTAATGACTGTGTAATAAACCTTGCAGCTAGCCTATGATTTTCTTAACCATTCCCTTATCAGTGGATGCCATTCTAGTCTTGCATACTGTAAATTTGCTGTGACTGGAATCTTTTCTCCGAATCCCTGACTGCACATCAGGTTATTTTCTTGGGGTGATTCTCAGTTGGTTCTTACTGGGTTAGTTGCCTGACCTCCTTGCCCTTTCTCACAGGCTTACCTCTTCCCAGCTATGGCCATTTTTAAGGCAGAAGATGCCAGCGGGGAGGCCTCAGCCATGTTGAACAATATGCGTGTATATGGCACCTGTGTGCTCACCTGTATGGCCACTGTGGTATTTGTGGGTGTCAAGTATGTCAACAAGTTTGCCCTTGTCTTCCTGGGTTGTGTCATCCTCTCCATCCTGGCCATCTATGCTGGGGTCATCAAATCTGCCTTTGACCCGCCCTACTTCCCGTAAGTGCTGCTACTCTGAGCCTAAGGCATCGTCCTCCTCCTCCATGGCCCAGTTTCATGGTCTGCACACCACCCTATGCCAACCCCTTGTTCCCATCTCTCAGAATCAGAGTGGCTGTGAATTTAGGGCAATCTCCCTTGAGAGGGAAAATATCTCCTAGTTTTGGGGAAGTCTATTCAGAGTGGGGTAATATTTCTGGAGTTGGGAACATTTTCCCTTATGAGAGTCAAATGCTTGCTGTGAGGATGATCTGAGAAAGAACCAAGTGGAATGATTTCTGGAGGGATAAACACTGTGTTGAGGAAACATTTTATGGGTGGGGACAAGCTCCTGGAATGGGGCAACCACTTAGTGTTAAATACCTTTTCCATCATGGGAAAGTACAGAGAAGGGAAGGTCTGTAGCTCAGATCTCTGTTGGTCCTGCCTCTTTACTGGGACAGGTTCCCTTACATCCCACTGCCCAGAAGGGCGGCGCACAGAGACTGCTGTCCATGGTGCTGAAACACAGCATTGCACAAAGGTGGTTTGCTGCCCTGGCTGCTATTAGAATCACTTGGCGGGGGCGGGGGGCGGGGGTGGGGGAGGGGGGGTGGGAGAGGGGGGTCTTTAAAAAAAAGCCGATTCTGGGCTCCATTCCAGTAAAATCAGAATCTCTGGATATTGGGCCCCAGCATCTGTGTTTTTAGAGTTCCCCTGGCAATTCGACTGTGAAGCCAGGGCAAGGTTATGTCCCTCCCCACCGTCCTCCCTTGTTTCTCTCCCTAGGATCTGCCTCCTGGGGAACCGCACACTCTCTCACCATGGCTTTGATGTCTGTGCCAAGCTGGCTTGGGAAGGAAATGAGACGGTGACCACACAGCTCTGGGGCCTTTTCTGTTCCTCTCGCTTTCTCAATGCCACCTGTGATGAGTACTTCACCCAAAACAACGTCACGGAGATCCAGGGCATTCCTGGCGCTGCTAGTGGCCTCATCAAAGGTCTGGGGGACGGAAGAGGGCTGGTGTCCAGGGAACGCTACAAGGATTGTGGGTTAAAAAGTTAGGATTAAGAGACTCTACTTGGGATTCAGTTAAATTCAATCAGTTTTAATTGATCTCCTACTCTGGGTCATGTTCTGTTCTTGGGACCATGAAGGGGTAGAGGTGAAAAGAAGCCTTTGAGTAGCCCATCACTTAATAGAAAAGAAAGCCATCGATTTAACAAGCACCTACCAAGTGCCTAGCACTGTGCTAAGCACCAGGAATGCAACATAAATAAGTCACAGGCCTCGGCCTCAAGGAGTCTAAAGGCAGACACAGATGTATTAGCAAATATGCATAGATGCGCATTCAATGAACAGAGATCTCCCAGGAGAGGGAGTGGTTGTATGTATAAGGTGGTAAGATAAGGCTTCCTGGACTCATCTGAGAAAGCTTTTGAAGGACAAATAAGAGATTTTCAGTGATATTAGGGGAATAAAGACATCACAGGCAGAAGAACAGCTTGCCTAAAAGCGTGCAGACACAGAAGAGCATATTGTGTCCTTCCAACCACAAGTAATTTGGAATGACTGGGACATAAAGTGAAAAAGAAGGAGGGGCAAGAAATGATGTCAGAGAAGCCAGCATGAGCCAGACTGTGGTGGGTCTCGGAAGCTATGTCAAAGAGTTTGGACTATGTCCCGAGGGCAATGAAGAGCCACCAAATGGTTTGGAGTAAGTGAGGGACATGGCCACCTTGTCATTTCTGAAGGTTCACTCTGGCTGCTAATGTGGATGGGCTAAAATGGGGAGATACCAGAGGCAGGGAATCCAAGAGGAGGCTACACTGAGTCCAGGTGAGAGACGATGGTTTTCTGACCTGGAGTGATGGAGGGATGTCTGGAATGGAGTAGTGGTTTTCCCCAAGTCTGTTCTGCGCACCAAGGAGACATGTGGCAATGTCTGGAGACAGTTCTGGTCACAACTGGAGGCTTATTATGGGCATCTAATGTGTAGACTCAGGATGTTGCTAAACATCCTACAATGCTATAGGACAGCCCCCCATAACCAAGAATTAACTGGTCCCAATAGTGCCAAAGTGGAGGAATCCTGGAAAGAAGAGAAATGGTATATTTGAGAAATATTTAGGAGGAGTCATGGGCCGGAGTTGGTGAGGGGTTTGAAATGGAGATGGGGAGAGGGAGCAGTTGAGGGCAATGCCAAGGTGTCTGAATTGATGCTTGTGCCACTGACCCAGCTAAGGGGTCCAGGAAAGGAGCTGGTTTTGGGTAGGTGGGTGTGAGATTGGTTTGGGATATTGAATCAGTCTGAGATAGGTGTGTCTTTTTGCCCCAGTAGACAGTGCTATTTGAGAGCAAGGACCAAATCTGACGCAGGTGCATGTGGCCTGGTCCAAATCAGGAGCTTAGGAAATGTTAGTAGAAATAAAACAGAGCCAAGGGGAATGAGAGGTGGTTGACCTTGGCCCTCCTTTTGCCCACCCCACCTCCTGGCCCCAAAGTTGTGACACTCTGACTTCTGTTCTTTCCTGAGCATCCTGTCTCCCCCACAGAGAACCTCTGGAGCTCCTACCTGACCAAGGGGGTGATTGTGGAGAAGCGTGGGATGCCTTCAGTGGGCCTGGCTGATGGCGCCCTTATCAACATGGACCATCCTTATGTCTTCAGTGATATGACCTCCTACTTCACTCTGCTGGTTGGAATCTACTTCCCCTCAGTCACAGGTGAAGGGGAGCTTGGAGAAGGAGGACTGTGCCTGGGAATGGGTGGGTAGGGGCCGGTCAACGATAATGTGGGGGAATTTCTTAGTCTAAAGCCCCCGTCACACAGGCAGAAGTCACAATTCAGTTCCCATTGGACAGATGAGGGTATTAAGGCCATGGAAAGCCGAGTAGACTGCCCAAGTCCTCATGCAAATCCATGTGCCAAGCCCAGATCCCAGGCTTCCTGACTCCGAGGCTGGGGTAAATTCTTCCCAGTCTGTCTGGTCTCCTGTCCTAGCTGCTCTGTTCACAGGGATCATGGCTGGTTCTAATCGCTCCGGGGACCTGCGGGATGCCCAGAAGTCAATTCCTACGGGCACCATCCTGGCCATTGCCACCACCTCCGCTGTCTGTATCCTGTGCTGCGGGGCTGGGGCCACCGTGGGCCGGGAGGGCTGGAGAGGGGGCGGTTGCTGGTTCATCGCTGGCTCAGGAGCGGTGGTGATGCAGGGGGACGCCACGCTGGGAATTCTCCTTCATTCTCTGCTGCAGACATCAGCTCCGTTATTCTGTTTGGAGCCTGCATTGAGGGGGTCGTCCTGCGGGACAAGTAAGTAAGGGAATCAGGACTGATCCTGTTCTGGGGGGTGGGCACAGGGGCCCAGTTCTGGGAAACAGACCTGACAGGGGCGCTGAACCTGTGCAAGGGGCCTTGTGGGAGGGAGGTCAAGGGGAAGTGCTTGCCAACTTACACTGTATTTTATCTTTCTCATGTCACTCCAGCTCAAGGAGCTTGAATGGTGCCTCATTTCCTTTAGGATAATGACACTTTCCTTTTCTTTTTCTTTAAAATCTATTAATTCATTTAATGTTTCCTGGATGTCTATGTGTTGGTCACTGTCCAGGGAGTAACAAAGATGAATAAGCCAGGATTTTCGCCCTGAAGGAGCTCTTTGGGGATGGTAGCTGTACTTCCAACAGACTTGGGGATGCAGAGCAGTAGGGGTGGTGAGAAAATACAGCACACGGCTCTGGGGCTGCGATCCAGTCCTCAGAGGGCGGGAGGAGGAGGTGATTCTAGAAATGCCTTATACACATTTTCTCATTTATCCTTCCCACTTTAAATGTCGAGCAGAGATTGCTTAGATGGCTGGGGGGCAGGGCGGGGGGGAGGCATTCCAGGCAGGGAGATCAGCATGAGTAAAGGTGGAGGCGAGAAACAGCTGCATGTGTGTGTGCGTGCGTGTGTTTGCACACTCGGGTGCCTGTAGCTGTGAGCAGTTAGAGCTTCAGGAGCATTCCCCTCTGAAGGGCGGGTGCATACCCACCAGGAGGGCAGGTGGCAGCCCTGCCCAGAAGCCGTTTCTGCATTCCCATCCTGGCTTCTGGAAGGTGGGGAATGGGGGACATGGGGCTGGAGACTTACGATGGACCCAGTCCCGGAGGCCTGGTTTTTGGTACCAGTAAATTGGAGCTTTATTTTACAAAAAAAGGAGGAAACTCTGGAGGGTTTTAAGTAGAGGAATGACCTGGCCAAATGGACGATTTGCACATATTACACCTATTAGCGTTTAGGGCAACTTAACCTCCACTTATCTCACTTTGTTTAATCGGACACCTCCCACAGATTGCAAGGGATTCCGCAGGTCATCAGTATAACCCATCATCTGATCCTTGAAGTCCTTCAGCAGCAGCCCATCTGAGCGTACCTCTGCTTGCACATTTCAGGGACAGGGCTCTGCACCTACTGAGGCAGCATCTTCCATTTTTAGACAATATCGTTGTTAGAAAATGCTTTTCTTTGACTCTCACATCACATACCATCACCAGATGATGAGGCCAGAACCCCCATTTTTCAGATGGAGAGGTTCTAACAGGTTAAGAGGTTTGCCCAGGATAACATAAACTTTCACAACGGACCTTTACTGGAATCACATCACTGCCATGTTCCAGGCACGGTGCTAAGCATTTTACATGTGTGATCTCCTATCCTCTCACCTGTTGTATGAGACGGGTTTGTAATGATTCTTGTCTTACAAGGCGAGGAAAGTGGGGCAAGGAGACGTGAAGTGACTTGCCCAAGGTCATGCAGACAGAAGGTGCCCAGGACATTAGGGGCTTTGTCTCTCCCTTTGCCCCTGCTGAGCCCAGCTCTGCGGTGGGCACAGAGTTGGTTCTGAAGTTGGCGAGGGAGACCTGCCCTGGAAATCCAGGTGGCATCGCTCACCCAGTATCTGCTGTCCTGTTGCTGCTTCATTCCAGGTTCGGTGAAGCTGTGAGTGGCAACCTGGTGGTGGGCACACTGGCCTGGCCCTCCCCCTGGGTTATCGTCATCGGATCCTTCTTCTCCACCTGTGGGGCTGGGCTGCAGAGCCTCACAGGGGCCCCCCGCCTGCTGCAGGCCATCTCTCGTGATGGCATAGTGCCCTTCCTGCAGGTCAGTGGGGGGGGGGGGGCGGGCGGCAGAGTGTGGAGAGAACAGTCCCTCCCTATCCCAGTCGGCCAGACCCCTGCCCAGGGAGGCTACATGGCGAGCCAGGGCCACAGCAAGCCTTGAACTGCCTTCTGGGGCCCTTCTGCTCTGTGCTGCCACTAAGAAGAATGGTTGTGCCTTATTTGGGATTTGGCCCATGGTCAATGCCATCTTTTTGGACAGAGTTGTCTGCTCTTAGGGGAAAAATAAATGGCCCTCCTTTGGCCTAGTGATCAGGCGGGGATTCAAGGAGGCAGCCAAAGGGCAAGAAAGGGGCAGCTCTCTCCATGATGCTAAAAAAAAGATTTATGGCGCACACAGTCATGGCCTCTTGCTGGCCTCCTGTAGTTCTCTCCCA